TATACAAAATTACACTTCCCAAGTCTATGATGTCCACAGAGTTTCTTATAGACTTTTAGTCATTATTAGCTAAGATACAAAATTACACTTCCTAAGTCTATGAGTCCACAGAGTTTCTTATAGTCTTTTAGTCATTATTAGCTAAGATACAAAATTACACTTCCTAAGTCTATGATGTCCACAGAGTTTCTTATAGACTTTTAGTCATTATTAGCTAAGATACAATATTACACTTCCTAAATCTATGAGGTCCACAGAGTTTCTTATAGTCTTTTAGTCATTATTAGCTAAGATACAAAATTACACTTCCCAAGTCTATGAGGTCCACAATGTTTCTTATAGTCTTTTAGTCATTATTAGCTAAGATACAATATTACACTTCCTAAGTCTACGTGGTCCACAGAGTTTCTTATAGTCTTTTAGTCATTATTAGCTAAAAAACAAGATCCTATTTCCTAAGTTTATGTGATCCACTAGTTTTTATATTTTATTAAATGTTGTTTACTGTGATATATGATCCTTTGGATGTTATAATTTTCCTGAAAATGTATTTCCGATAGGTATTTAGTTTCCCTCACAAGATTAACTATTCTCGTTTAGTGCTGCCCTCTATATGCGAGCGTTTTCTTTACGCGTGCCACCAGCTTTCCGTTCTCTCTCTCCTTGTTCGAATTATTATATTCCAACATATCTCCCATGCAAGTCATCATGCGTCATCTTTTAACCAATAGTAGCATGATAAGCTAAGGTGACGCACGTGACTTCCTCTACCGAAGGGAAGTTTGGCAGAAGTGGGGGGGGGGGGATAAGGGCTGGAGGAGGAAAGTATCTATCGGAAATATATTTTCAGTATAGGAAAATTATAACTTCCGATATGGTGCTTCCCTCCTCTCACAAGATTAGCTAGGATCCCACATTGAGAAGGAAGAGGGAACGAAAGAAGTACCCTCGAAAGCGTCCGAAGGACACCCCTGACATTGAGAGATATAGATCAGAGGAGAGAAACAGCATCATTTCTAAGCCAGTTATACTCTTTGTCCATGTGTAATGTGTAAAGGCGGAAATTGAGAGGTGTAGAGTGGCTAGGGCGCGGGGCTTGGTAAGTGACGGCTCAACTCCCGTGGTTGTGTAAATGGTGTCAGGAGGCCACGTCATCTAGTATGGGTAAAGAGGGAAGGAAAATAGGAGAAAAGGATGAACAACCCTCCCGAGCTGCCGAGGTCTTGGGGAGAAAGGGACGATTGGGGTAAAGGAGAATATAGGTCGGGTGATAATGGTACATGAAACGTCAATGGCATACAAATCCGACATTCGACGTCCATAGGTTAAGAGAAGGAGTAAATATGTTTTAAAGGTCAGATAAAACAAGGAACAAGAAGAAAATGATTCAAACGGAGGTAAAGTAAGGGCATGGAGGACCACATTAATGTCCCAGTCCAGGAGGGCTGGACGTCTGGGAGGTCAACATATCTGGAAGAAACGCATGAGCATGGTAAGAACAAGGGAAATAAAAACCTTATGGTATCGGGAAAAATGGAAGGTATGGGATAGGGCCATCCGATATCCAAAAAGTGAAGAGACCAAAGACCCATAGTCGAAGAACCAGGTGAGAAATCCTGCCACACGAGCCACAGAAGGCTTTTCAGCTGGAAACCTCCAGTTAGAAGACCAACAGCAGAATACTTTCCAGTTACATTAGTATACTAATGTTCCACACGGAACAAGTGAACAAGAAGGCGACTCATCATGCGAAACTGGATCATCTCGCCAAGGACCAGACAAAAGCCAGACGTGAAGATGGGAGGGAGAAAGTGGAAGAGAGACAGGTGGTCATAGGAGCAGAGGTTATAGCCTTGGAAACCAAAGTTGAGTTGGGAAAAGAAGCAATCAGGAGAACCCAACAAAAAATAGACAAGAGAAATCACCTGATGAAGCAATTGGATGGAAGGGTACACATAAATATATTTGTGTGACCAATCCTGGCTGATGGCATCCACCACCAAAGCCTGTGGTACAGGTGACCAAAAAAGGGGCAACTTAGTATTGGAAAAGGCATCTAATTGGAGAAAACCCCAACAATGGAAAAGATCCTTGAAAACAAGTGGATCTAATGCTCACGCCACTGGATATATTTGGTCAGGGCGTGACGAGACTGAAAGCACCCTGCACATGGCATGTGATAAACAAATGTGATGTGTGTGGGCCCAGTATAATAGATCCAACGTCCAAAAACATAGATCTCTGGACCAGGTGCTCCCTTGGTGGTTGATATATGCCACCACCGTAGAATTGGCTGATTGATGAGCGAGAAGAAGGAAGTGATGCAATGCCAAATGTACTGCTAGAAGTTCGAGAACGTTGATATGCAAGACGATTTCGTATGCAGACCATCAGCCCAAAACTTACTGGTGATTGACCCATGCTTCTCATCCTTGAAGAGATGCATCTGTGAAAAGATGTAGATCCAGATGCAGGGGAGGAAGTGGCACGCCCGTCAACATATGGGCTTTATCCAGCCACCAATGCATATTGTCTCACAGGGAAGTAGGAAGGGAAATGGGGGTAGAAATGGGATCACAAGCAAGGTTCGTTCATTCGTGAAGCACCTACTGAGGGATCTCATATGGGCACAATGCAAAGAGACCAGAGCAGTCATGAAGGACCATATCCCCAAAAGTGATAGAACCTCGCAAGCAGTGACTGAACCAAGAGGGCATGGTGAACCAAACATTCCATTAAACGAATACGTAAAGGAGAAGGCAGAGCGTGACTGATATTTGTGTTGAAAAAAGACCTCTAAATTGACTAAATATCGAGTGGTTCAAAGAAATGACCTGTCCCATTTGATCAACTAGCCCACCCGAGCTGCCACAGAAAGGAGTTGGTATGAGTGGCTGATTCCTGTTTGGAATGAGCCAGTCATCCATGTTATAATGAAATCTCATCCCCAGAACATGGAGCTCACATGCAAAAGCTCGAACTATGCTCGAACACATAGAGAACCAAGGCAAGTCTGAAGGGAAGTGCCCGAAATTGGTAAACCATCCCGAGAAGGACAAACTGAAGGTAAAATCATGACCAATGTGCTATTGGGATGTACAGGTAGGCGTTGGAGACGTCTATCTTCATCATCCACAGTCCTGGAGAAAATGCCTATATCAGGGTAAAAAATACTCCATGGTGAACTTGGGGAGTACAATGAAGTGCTTAAGGTGAGATAAATTGATGACCAGCCAGCAATCCCTGGTTTTCTTGGGGACAACAAAAAGATGGGAATAAAAAACCCAGAATGATGATGAACTGGTTCGATTGCCTGCTGTAAAATCACTTCTCGAACTGCTTCTCACAGATGCTGGATGGTCACAGGATCTCGAGGAGGAGGGAAGGAAACAGGAGGTGCGGAAAGAAACTGGATAACGAATATTTCTGATAGAACCCATATTACCCATCGACCATTTATGAAGGGACGCCAACGAGGAAGAAACACTAATAGTCAAGCTCCCACTTGACCCAAACCCATAGGGTAGTCACCGGTACTGTTGGCAATGGGGGATAAAATGCTGATCTTTTGGATGTGTTCATGTGGTCCACATAATGTTTATGGTTTAATAAAATGTTGTTAGTTAAGAAATATGATCTTTTGGATGTGTTCATGTG